TAAACATTCCCTACAGCAGTTGGGTGGGCAGGACATGGGATACGCAAGGAAAGAGCATGTGTCTGAGCACTGTGCTCCCAAACCACGAGGAATTGCAAGGGGAAAAGCAGATATTCCAGGTCCAAAGATCGCTGCTGGAACAGCCTCCGGCCTCCAGGCACAGAAATGGGGGGGATTATGTCAGGGACAGGTATTTGCAGGCTTAGCCCCTGCCTGAATGGAGGCTTGCAGCCAGGGAACGGTGACACAGGGCTGGATTCTCCTGGTGTTGCATTAATTAGTTTAATCACGAGGTTAATGCCAGCTAAGCCAGCAGAGAGCACGTCCTGGTTCCGCCGTGATCCGCTGTTCTCCCTCCAGTTCACCCCAACCCGGGTCAGTCTCGGTGCCATCAGACAGAGGGTTTTGGCCGGGATGGGATTGGGGCTCCTGCCCTGCAGCCCAGGGCAGGAGAGCAGTTCCTAGTGGAGCAGAGGGAGTGGTGGCAGGAGAAATCCCAGGGACAGGATGACCTTACCCCGGTTCATGCCGTGCCCCGGCCGTGCTCCGGCGCTGAACGAAACTCCAGCAGCCACCAGGCACGTGAGGCTCGTCCCTTCCCGCTCCCGGGGGACTCCCCATCCAGCCCCTGGCCAAGGGAGCAGAACAATCCTGGGAAGTGACTGGGGGCAGGGAGGGGGGGCGAGGGGACAGGATGCCCTGCTGGCCACCACCACCGGCATTGTCTCTTTGGATACCTGGGGGATGAAGTCAGAGATTGAGCAGTGGCCAAAGAAACACCAAACCCCCCTGATCGCTCTGGAGCTTGGGGGGACCCAGAGGAGGTTGCCTACTCCCATCTATGGATGCTGGCATCCCTGGGAGGGGGAAGAAGCCACTCCCCACTGACCCTGCTGTGGAGCTCTCCTGTCCCCCGGGTGATTTGGGGTCACATGGAGGCTCCCCAGGGACTGTTTCAGGAGCTGGCAGAGTCCCAGCACAGCTGAGGAATTTCCTAACCCTGGTCTGCAGGCACCAGCCTCCTGGAAAACCCAAAAGGGCCCAACTTCTCCCTTCTTTCTTGTAAATGTGGGAAGATCCCACCATACTCCAAGGACTGGAGCCCCTCTGCTCTGGAGCCAGGCTGGGAGAGCTGGGGGGGTTCACCTGGAGAAGAGAAGGATCCAGGGAGACCTTAGAGCCCCTCCCAGTGCCTAAAGGGGCTCCAGGAGAACTGAAGAGGGACTTGGGACAAGGGCCTGGAGTGACAGGACAAGGGGGAATGGCTTCACACTGCCAGAGGGCAGGGTTAGATGGGATACTGGGAAGAAACTCTCCCCTGTGAGGGTGGGGAGGCCCTGGCACAGGCTGCCCAGAGAAGCTGTGGCTGCCCCATCCCTGGAAGTGTCCAAGGCCAGGTTGGACAGGGCTTGGAGCAACCTGGGCTTGTGGAAGGTGTCCCTGCCCATGGCAGGGGGGGGGGGACTGGATGGATTTTAAGTTCCCTTCCCACCCAAACCATTCTACATTCCACAAAAACATGTGAGGGGGTTTTACGGGAAAGAAAGCAGGTGGCATCCCCAGGGTTACACTGTCTCCCAAAATAGTTACAGCCTCTTACATCACTACTGCCAGACTGTCTGAGCAGCTGGGGACTTCCCTTCCCCAGAGGGTTGAGGTTCCTCTTTGAAGCACAGAGTGGCCACAACTTCTTTTAGGGGAGAGCTGGTGACTCTTTTTACCCCCTCAGAGGCTGGAAAGATCCCTCTGGGATCTTTCCCAGCAACTTCATCGAGGAACATCAAGCCCTGGCATGGGGGGTGAGGGACTATCAGCTCCCAGGCACAGACAGAAGCCCTGACACCTGCATGGTGGCCCTGCCTTGAGGGATGCCTCCATACATGCCTTCTTCCAGGGAATATAGAGAAGGGAACAGCAGGGAGATGCAGGCAACACCTGCCCACAGGTGGTCCCTACAGTGGTGGCCACCGGGGAGGTTTCTGGTTGCCCACCCAGCAGTCAGTGAGGGAGGTGACTGTCTCCAGCCAGGGCCACTTCTGCTAAAGCTGTCCCCTCCATGTCCCAGCACATCCATCTGGGTCTCCAGGATGCCAGATCTGCTCCAGGCTGGAGCTGCATCCCCCAGCCTGGGGAAGGGGGCTCACTGAGGGCCGGGGGAGGGAGCGTGTGGGGCTCAGCGCCTGCTCCGCTGGCAAACACCCAGGTGGGCTCCGGAAAAGCTGGTTTTGCGGGAACAGCTGCAGGCAGGGGGCCCGTGCAGCCGCCTCGGCTCCGGTGATTACCCACATCCCGTCCCGCGCACGCTGCTCTCGCTTCTAAGAAAACACTCGAACCGCTGGGGACGGCAGTGGGGAGCGCTCAGGGAGCGGGGACAGCCTCGTTGGGGGCCCTGTGCACCACCACAGCCCTGCTCCAGCCTGGCCAGGGCTGGCATTCTTCTCCCTGCACCCCGACAGCCCGGACCAGCAGCTCCCAGCTGATGGTGGGGCCTCCAGAACCCCCTGTGCAGCTCTGGCACCCTCAGCTCCCAATACCTCCAGAGAGTGGGTTCCCTTCAGGTCCCTCTCACGGCTCTTTGCAGAGCCCCACACCCCATCCAGCCCATCCCAGCTGCTCCTCGGCCCTGCTCCAGCTCCCCCCGCCCGTGCTGCCGTGGGCAGGGGGCCCAGGGGAGGAGTGGCAGTGTCACAGGACGTGCGTGTTCGTGCTGATTGCTTTTGCAGCCCCTCCATGGCACGTGCACAGCGGGGCCACCTCCGACCCACAGAGCCTCCAACCCACTGCTCTGCTCAGCCCCAGTACCCCCATGAGCATGGGGGGGTCAGGGGTCCTCCCAGGCTACACAACAGCCCTTGGGCAACTGTCCCTCCACAGGGCAGTGGATGCCACAGCCCTCACCTCAGTGCCACCCCACCATCCAGGTGTGTCCCCAAGCCCTTCCAGAGATTCCCAGGAAAAGAGATCCAGCCCCTGTCCCAGCAGAAGAGCTGCTGTGCCTACAGGGATCTGCTTCACCAGCATGCACAAGCCATAGAATCATGGGATCACTGAGGTGGGAAAAGCCCTCTGAGATCAGAGTCCAGCCATTCCCTGCCAAAGCCACCACTAAACCATGTCCCCAAGTGCCACATCTCCTTGGGTTTTTTTTAACATTTCCAGGGATGGTGGCTCCACCACTGCCCTGGGAAGCCCATCATGGAGATTTAGGTTGAGCTGCTGTCAGCACAGGCCGGGCAGGACAGGGCTGGCATTAGGTCCTCTGTCACCCCCCCCCCAGTACTGGCACTGTGGGGTATCCAGTGCAATCCCACTGTCCCCCCAGCCCCAACCCAATCAGATGCTGACAGTCAGGGGGGTAGGAGGTCCCATGAGCCCTGGAGAGGCTCCTGCACTGACGGGATGGGACAGCTCAGCTGTGGGGCGTGGGCAGCACCCACACACCCATCCCAACCCTGAGGGGCTGCAGGAGCCCGGGCTGACACCCCAACCCGCTCCTGGCAACGCCCACAACAAACAACCTCCAGAGCTTCCCCGGGGCTGTGCTGTGGCTGCGGGGGTGTATCAGCCACAGCAGACTGGGGGCTGGAAAATATTTATTTCTGTAGCTGCTTGGCAACGTTTGCCACTGCCGCAGGGGGCGAGGGGGTGAGTGGCACTTGCGGACAGCGACAGCCGGAGCACCACCGTGACCCATCGAGGACAGCACTGCGGGTGGTGGGTTAAAAACCCCTTCCCACACAGGGGAGGAGCTGGTGTTGCCCAGAGGCAGAACGGGACCGTGGGTGGAATAATGAACCCTGGAGTCAGAGCGAGACAGCGAGGGTGAAACGCTGCGGGCAGTGACTCAGAGGGGAAAAACGTCCCCAGTGACACGGGGGTTGCTGCCATCGGCACTGTGGGGACAGTCCTCGTGTCTCCTGTCCCTGTGGCCCCGGTGATGTGGGCTGTGTGACCCCACAGAGCATCACGGGCAGATCCCTGAGTGTCACAGACACTCCAAACATCACCACCTTGCCACACACTCTCACCCCCATCTTCTGGCTGCTCCTCGGGGTCTGTTTGGGAGGGAGATCAGCGGTAACATCACACAACACGGGGACAGGGACAGCAGAAAGTGTCCCCATGCCTGCTCTGCCCTGCCCGGGGCTCCGGACCTGCCCAGAAGCCCCCGCTCCTGTCCTGCCCTCCCTCCCAGGGCTCGGATTAGTGCGGGCTCAGCAGACTCCTGCGGCAGCTCTAAGTCCAGGGGCTGGCAGAGGAGATGACCAACATCCCCCTGCTCAGCACCCGCGGACAGGGATGAGGGAAGAAAGCGAAACTGCCCGTTTCCTGCTCAGACATTGCAGCAGAGCCACATGTGACCCTGCTCCACACGCAGATCACAGGGAGGGAGGGAGGGAGGGCAGTGCTGCCAGCCCTGGGACGAGCAGACGCCCACGTTCCTTCTCGGTCATTCCAATGCACACGGGGCAGCTCCTGGGGAGGGGAAACTCTAGGAGGGAAACGAAGGAGAGGAAACCCGGGGGGGACCCATCATCCCAGTAAACAGCCAAACCTCTGTCCAAGCTCAGCTTGGCAGAGGGCTGCAAACCCATATCCCGGGAGGCTTGTTCCTGGGGCTGTTCCAGTGGCAGTACCAAGACAAAGTGGTACCAGGGCACGTCCATGTGGAAGCAGGACCCTCAGAGCAGTGTCACCCACCCCAGACAGAGGAGCAGGCAGTGGCCCATCTCCCTGAGCAGATGGAGTGGGAAAGGGATGGACTCTGCCCCCTCGCCCACTCCACACTGTCCAAGAGCCAAGTGGAATGGAGGACCAGGGATTCCCAATCCAATACCCTCCTTCGGGCAGGCACACGCTGCTGAATTTGCTTCCCTGAGGTCTCTCCCTCCATTTTTCCAATGCCAGTCTCACCAGCTGGCAGCCCCAGGGCCAGGGCATGGCCCAGGCATCCCTGCTCCCCCCCACACACACAGGAAAAGGATGGACAAAGACAAACAGAGGCTTAAAATCCTGTTTATAGAAACACATTCTCTCTGTACAGCCCAAAACATCCTTTTTACAGTATTTACAGCAGCAGCAGCTGGGGCAGAGGCACTTGGGGGGCAGGGATGGGCCAGATTTGGGGGTCCCCATGCAAAGCAAAGGGCCAGCAGTGGCTGCCACCACCTGTGACAGATGCCACCGGGGGAACAGGCTTTCCCAGTCTGGAGGGGACACCAAGGTAACACTGATGTCCTTCCCCAAAATCACCCAGGGGGTCTCCAAGGGCTTCATCAGTGGCACAGACCTCCTCAACCCACTCAGTCCCAGGAGCCACCAGCCCCCGTGCAGGGCACAGCCTGGTGCCCACCCCGGGTTCTCCTCTCTCGGCGCTGGCAGGGCCCTGCCACCACTGTCCCATGGCCAGATCCGTCCCCACCGCCTGTCCCCGCGCCTGTCCCCGTCCCCAGCATGGTCCCAGGAGCTATCCCCAGGCCAGCAGTGGGTGCAGAAGCAGAGGGTGCATCAGGCAGGCATCAGGGGGGCTCAGCTGCTGGGGATCCTCCTCTCCAAACCCCGAACCACATCTCACATCTCTGCAGGATGATACAGAGGGGAAAGAAGATGGTGAGAGGATGGCTGGGGGGGGGCTGCACTGGACCCCCTGGCACCACCAGCAGCAGGGTTAGAGCAGAAATCTGGGGGATGGGAGACAGCTCTGGTCCCCTTCTTGTCTCACTCCCTCCAAGCATAGCTGGGGCCTGCAGAGCAACACTTCCCACCAGCCACCTCATTTTGGATACTCAGGGAAGGGAACAGATACCAGAACTGTGCCTTACATGGTCTGTGTAGGGGGAAACATCTCATTATTTTTTTAAATCAAGTTCTCTCTACCTCCAGCCTGTCATGCTGTTCCCCTGTGAGAGGAAGTGTGGCCCCTGCCTCAGTTTCCCCAGCAAGGAAGCTATTGGGGAGCAGCCAACCTCAACAGATCACAGAGCTGCTGTGGTGCAGCTGCCAGAGCTGCCCAACACAGCATCACCCCCTTCCCCAGTGACACCCCCTGGCCCTCATCAGGACAGAAACACATGGAGAAGGAGAACACAACCCACAGGCTGGGATTCCCCTTTCTGCCACCGCACAGACTCACTCTGCTCCCTCCAGATGGGATATTTCCACAGGGCTAGGATATACTACAAGGAAAAATCCTCTTTTCCTCCTGCTCACCTTTCTCCCTCAAGCAAAGAGCAGCCTCCAAGCAGGAGCTGGAGGGAGGCTGCAGGCAGAGAGCCACAGGCACCTCTGCATCTTCCCAAAAACATCAACAGCTCTGCAGGTTGTCCTGTTGGGCATCATTGCCAGGACCAACATGGCCTTCATATCCTCAGTCCCTTCCCCAGGTACCAGCACCTCCAGCTCATCAGCTGGGGGAAGCTGAGGCAGCAGACAGGGAACACACTTAAGCCTTTGTATTTCTGCCCCAGCTGAAAGAGCCTGAAGAGGGAAGTGACATCCATGAGCCCCTCGACAAAAGAAAAGACCGAACCCGGGCTCCAAGCGCCCTGCAGCAGGATCCCCAGGCAGGAGGGGTGCTGGCCAGGGGCAGTGGAGGAGCCCCAGCACGTGGGAAGTGCAGGGATCAGAGCTGGGCACGTACCCTCCAAGGCTTTATCCAGGTCCGCGATGAACTCCTCCAGCTCCTGCGTGTCACCAAGCTTAGCTAGTGGGGAGAAACATGGTCAGGTCTTCCCATTCCTCCTCTTACTTGGGAGAGAAAGGACCCCCTACCCCTTGTTCCTAATCACAGCTGCTCCAGCTGCAGCCGTTTCCATCCCAGCCAATCCATTCCTGACCAGGAACACACTAATCCAGCTCGATGGCTGTTCCAGGATCCTGCCAGAACACCAGGGCTCAGTCCCATCTCCTAATCCTGCAGGACCCCACTGACACCCCCCATACAGGGAAGCCCAATGGTCACCAAGCCAGGCTGAGCACGTGGAAGGAAGCACTGGCAGAGCCCTGGGGACAGAGCCAGGCTCACCTTTGGTGGGGTAAGTGTCGGCTGGGGTGTTGAGGTGCTCCTCGCTGGAGTTGAGGCTGCTTCCCGGGGACGTGCTGGCACCTGCACACACAAAGCATCAGTCCCTGGCCCCGGCCACAGGCACCTGATGGGCACATTGCAGGAGCAGGGACCGACCACGCGCGTGGCACGGGGTGCCAGGTCCTCCCTCGTGCTTGGACAGCCCATCTGCTCTTCCCCTGGTACCAGGAGTGCTTGGAAAAAGGCGACTGAGCTTCTTTCTTGGGCCAAAGATCACAAGAGGCTGTCTGGGCACAGTCACGAGGACTCTCAGGGTTATTACACGGAATTGGGTCCCTCTGAGCTCCCATTTATCCCAAGCCTCCCACAGCAGTGCAGCAGCCAGCCCAGCAGAAGGAGCCCTGGCAGATGTTGGCAGGTCGTGGGCCAGGATCCAGTGGTCATCCCCGCAGTGTTGCTCATCCAGCCCACCAGGGATGAGTCAGGCAGCATCAGCAGAAAGCTCAGTGGTTTTCCATGGAGGAACCCCAGAGCTCCCACACCAACAGACGTCATCCTCCCCCACAGCTCGTCATTCCCCAGCCCCAGACTCACTCTCCAGCTCATCCATTTCATTCCCCAGCCCCAGACTCACTCTCCAGCTCACCCATTTCGTTCCCCAGCCCCACACTCACTCTCCAGCTCATCCATTTCGTTCCCCAGCCCCAGACTCACTCTCCAGCTCATCGATGCCGCTGTCGTACACGCTGTGTCCCACTTTCCTCTTCAGCTCTTCCAGGTGCTGCTGGTACTGACATGCAGGGCCTCGGTCAAAGTCCTCCATCACCTCATCAAACTCCCTGAGCAGGTCACTGAGCTCCTCGGCCATCGCTGGGGGGCAAGAAGGGGGTGTTGGAGCACCCACCCTGCAGGCAGCCCCAGCAAGACCCTCTTGGGAGCAGCCCCAGGCTGGGCACGGGACAGAGCCAGGATCCAGGTCCCCTCCCTGCAGGCAGTTCTCAGCCTTACTCTGAGCTTATCCAGCTCCTCGGACACCCCGGACATCCCTCCAGCTCATCCCACAGCTAAGCTGGTGTCCAGCCCAGTACGAGACGGTCCTATCCAGGTAAGGGGCTTGATAGAATCTCGAAATGGTTTAGGTGGGAAGGAACCTTAAAGCCCACCCAGTCCCACCCCCTGCCATGGGCAGGGACACCTTTCACTAGCCCAGGTTGCTCCAAGCCCCGTCCAACCTGGCCTTGGACACTTCCAGGGATGGGGTAGCCATAGTTTCTCTGGGCAGCCTGGATGGGAGGTGGAAGGGACCACAATCCCCGGCCAGGACAGTCCGGGAGCTCCAGGCTCCATCCCGCTCCCAGGGATTCCCGACGGGCTGCGCAGCGAGATTTGGGGGGGAATGCAGGAGCAGAATCCCTGCGGGTGGGGAGGGGGGGTTCCGAGGAGGTGGTTCGGCTCGGCTCGGCACTCACCGGTTGCTCGGCGGGCTTTGCTCCGCTCCCTGCGCTCCGGTCCCGCGGCAGCGGCGGGTCCCGGTCCCGGCGGTTTTGGCCCCAAACCGGTGATGGGGTGGGCGGGGCCTCCAAGAGGCTCCGCCCCAACGGGCGCTCCCAGGGGATCCCGGGATCACCGTCCCCCCGTCCGTACCCGAGCTCGGGGGGGGACCTGAGCTCTCCACACACCCCGGAGAGGTGGGTGGAGCAGGGGGCAGTCGGGCTCTGCGCCCCGGGAACAAGGGTAAAACGGCCTCAAGTTGTGTCAGGGAAGGTTTCGGTTGGATATTGGGAAAAATTCCTTCATGGAAAGGGGTTGTCCAGCCCTGGCACAGGCTGCCCAGGGCAGCGGTGGAGTCCCCATTCCTAGAAGGATTTAAAAGCCATGTGTACGTGGCACTTGTGGACATGGGTTAGTGGTGGCCTTGGCAGTGCTGGGGGAGCAGTTGAACTTGGATGGTCTTGGAGGGCTTTTCCGACCTCAACAATTCCATGATTTTCTCCTCCAGTTTTCCCAGTGAGCTGTCAAGCTCAGAGCTCTGTGTCTGGGCAGCACCCTGGATCCTGCTCAGCAGCACGAGGGTAGACAGGGGCATTAAAAAAAATGAAGGGAATGGGCTCTACTTTCTTTGCTGTTGACCCTAAAATCACTCATGAATCCGAGCAGTTGATCCCACTCCTGTAGATACTCCCTGTTGTGCCCTTCACACAAGCCCTAAGCTTGACTTTAGATGTGAAACCCCACCAGTGCTGACTGCTTCAAGGTGGTTTTGGTGGGGTTGGTGCTGAGAACCAGCCAGAACCACTCCAACAGCAGCAACTGCCCCCGAAACACCAACCACCCACAACAGCCACCACCCCCCAAAACAGCCACCACCCCCCTCAACAACAACAGACACCCCCAAACATTAACAACCCAACAACAACCAGGGCAAAGAGCCCACGAGAACAGAACCTGGAGCATGGCAAAAGCCACTGGACTCTTCGGAGCAATGCCAAGGCTCCCTGAATGAGCTTTGCAGCTGATTGGGGACGGGGTTTATTTTGTGAGGCTGAGAGAGAGCAGCTCTAAGCGAGCACTGGTGTGTTCCAGCAGCGCCAGCCGGCTGCTCCTTCAGGCGGAGGAGTGTCCATGCAGCTCAGGGAGGCCGTGGGCAGGCCGGTGCTGGGCTGCCCTCAAGTGGAGTTTCCAGCAATATCCCACCGGCACTGAGCAGTTTTAGGCTTCTGATGTGGCGGGAGAAACACCCTACAGTGATTTTTATAGTTTTGGTAGTAAAAGGAGAAAGATGGCACTTCCCAGCGAGCCCCACATGCCCTCCCTGCCCCCCTTGTGGCTCTGGGAAAGTGAACTTCAACAGGACTTTTTCTGCAAAGAGCTGCCTCGTGTGTCAGCATCCCTGTCTCATCCACAGAATCACGGAGTCAGGAATGAAGTGGGTTGGAAGGGACCTTAAAACCCATCCAGTTACAACCCCCTGCCACGGGCAGGGACACCTTCCACTGTCCCAGGTTGCTCCGAGCCCTGTCCAGCTTGGCTGGAACACTTCTGGGGATGGAGCAGCCACAGCTTCTCTGGGCAACCTGTGCCATTGTTTTACCACCCTAAGAAGGAATTTGGAAGGTCCCCAGAGGGGCTGCTCTTGCAGCAGGTACAATCCCACCCAGCCCAGCCGCTGGACATGGTGTTGGTTTCACAGTGGACACTCGGGTGTGCTGGTGGCCTCAGGAACCTTCAGCAGTCCTGTGGTGTCCCGAGCTTATCCACTCCCACAGACTCAACAGCACTGCTGGTCTCTGGAGCTTATCAGAGACCAGAGACCTGGGAGGTCTCACCAGCTATCTCACAGACACACTCCTCCAGGAAATACTTCCCCACCCATCCCAACTGTACCCATCCTCAGGGAAGGGACCTTTGCAAAATAAGAGCCCAGCCCCAAGGCTCTGGTGCCTTTAGACCAGTACTGGGCACAGGCTGTGGCAGAATATGGAATGTGGAATATGAATCCACCCTCCCTCTCAGGCCAGCAGCAGGGAAAGGGTCATCCAGCCCTTCATCATCCTCTCAGAACTACAAGATGTGCCCAGAGCTATGACACATGGGAGCATCCCACCAGCCCAAAGCTTCCTGGAGAGCTGGCCCTGGCTGCGATTCCCCATTCCACCTCTCACAGGATGTTTTGGGTTGGAAGGGACCTTAAAGATGATCTAGAATCATGGACCATCATCCATGGACCAACTCTGGATGTGAATGTAGGAAAACCCTCATGGAGTGAAGCACTGATGGAGCTTTGGTCCTTTAGACATCCCCATCCCTCCCCGTGCTGCTGTTCCACCAGGCACTCCAGCCTGGTTTTGTTTGCAAAAGTACTCTTTCATCCCTCTGCGGGGGCTGCCCCATCCCTGGAAGTGTTCAGGACCAGGCTAGATGGAGTCTTGGAAGCAACCTGGTCCAGTGGAAGGTGTCTTTGCCCATGGCAACTTCTCTGAGCAACCTGTGCCAGGGCCTTACCATCCTCACAATGAAGAATTTCTTCCCAATATCCCATCTAACCTTGCCCTCTGGCAGTGGGAAGCCATTCCCCCTCGTCCTGTCACTCCAGGCCCTTACAAAAGCACTTAGATACATCCATAAGGTCCCTTTGGGGGACAAGTTGTCTCTTCTCCAGGCTGAACAGTCCCAGCTCCCTCAGCCTTCCCCCGAAAGATGAACGCTCCAGTCCCCTCAGCTCTGGGGATGGGAATCTCATTCCCCAAACTCCAATGAAGCAGATGACAGAGGCAGGGCTGTGCCAGGGGCACAGCAGTCCTTTGGACCTGCAAGGAGGTGACAGCCCGTGCTGGTGGCTCCCGAGCACAGCTCTGCCCCACACACGCACCCCCACGGCACAGGCACAGGGCTTTCCCCCAAAGTGGGGCAGAGGACTGGTTTTTGCTGGGAAAGGCTGCCCAGTTTGTCCAGAGGGCCTGGCCAGGGCTCACTAGATGCCAACATGCAGGTTTAGGAAGGAGACATTGCTGTAGAGCTCCGAGGAGACCGAGCTGCTCTCCAGGCTGCGTGTCCAGCCAGGCAGTGCGGAGGGAGAGTGGCCCTCTGCGGAACCCTCGCGCTCCAGGTGCCTAAGGAAGCGAAAAAAAAGAGAGAGATGCTAATTGCAAATGTTTCTATTGCCAACTCCACTCCCAAATGTCCTCTAGCAGTGATCCCAAAGATCCCAAAGACTGCCATCTCTGGACAGCCCCAAAGGGAACGTGAAGACAGACAAGGAACTGTACCATGGATTATAGAATCCAACGTTTGAGTTGGAAGGGACTTTGAAGACCATCTAGTCCAACTCCCTGCCATGGGCAGGGACTCCTTCCACTAGACCAGCTTGCTTCAAGTTCTGTCCAACCTGGCCTGGATGTGGCCTGTGGCCCAGGAAAACCCCTCACACAGGACAGTCCCTGTTTGCTGAAGACTCATCAGCTCTACCAGGAGACCAAAGGCTCCTGAGTGTCCCCTGCTTCCAAAGATCCTCTGCTTCCAACCCCAGAGAGCAAACCCCCTCCTGCATTAGGTGCTGTGATGGTGGGCTCAGCTTATGGGACACGAGGTATTTAATCTATATTTAATCCCACTGTATTTAATCACAGGGAAGGGCATGAGCTCCAATTCTGAGCCTCAGTGGGACTGCCCCATCTTGGAGCCTAAAAGTGGGACTGTCCCATCTTAGAGCCTAAAAGTAGATGCACAGCCACACAGGACAAGGCAAAAAAATGCATGGAAATGTGGGCACCAAGGGCAAAGACGATTTAGAGAAGCCTGAACATGGAGCAGGTATCAGCGTGCAACCCTGAGAGGCAGGAGCAGAGGAGGGGGCTGGATAAGAAGGGATTCTGATGCTCTGGAGGGGACCTGAGGGAGGAAACAAGGAGAACAGGGAGCTCTGAGGGACAGGAAAGCTGGGATGTGAAGGGCGTTTGCTGGGGAGCTCATGAGCAGAAGCAGTGAAGGGAAGAGGAAGGCTGGAGGAAGATCAGCAGGGAGGAGCCTCGTGGGGACTTACGGCACAGCAGGGAACTTCCTGCGCAGTAGGTAGTCAATGACATCGGGATCTGTCTGGAACAACCTCCTCAGGATGTCACACTGCGTCTCTGGAGACACCTGGGGGCACACACGGACACAACTCACTCATGGGGGCCCCCTCGGCAGGAGGTTGAGCAGGGGCAGCTGAGGATAGTGGAAGGACTCCAGGACAACATGTGGTCGTGGACACACCATGTTGGTGTCACATCCCACACACCTCCCAGGGTCTGCAGGATCTCAGCCCCTGCTTTTCTCCCAGCAACTCTGGTCTTTTGGCTCCCCGCAGACCCCCAAAATTGCTATGAAGCTTTTTGACTGAAATGTCCCATTCTCATGAACCCGTGGGGGCTCTTGTTGCCTGCAAGTATCCTGTGGGAGGGTGGAGAGAGGATGGAGCCAGACCCATCGCAGAGGATGGGCACAAACCAAGGTGCAGCAGGGGCACCTCTGACAGGGACAAAAACCTTCCCGTGATGATGGTGCAGTCCTGGGACAGAACCTGGAGAGGTCACAGCTCCCCATCCCTGGAAAGAAGTAAAGCCCAGCTGGACTGCAGCCCTGATCTGGCTGGTCTGGAGGCCCAGAGCTCTCTTCTTCCCATATGAGCCTTTATATGACTCTAAAAGAAGCTTTTGGGAATCCCAGGGTGATGCATGCCCCAGTATGAGATGAGCACTGCCTGACTCGTGCTGAAGAGTGGATCTGAAGTGGTCCCTCACTGCCCTCACCAGCTCTCCCTGCTGTTACATCTTGCCCACACCTGCCTGAGGCTTTGGCACTCCACCCCATGCCATCCTCTTCCAGCTCCTTCCCTGTTCTAGGCTCTCCCATTTTTCAACTTCTTTCCCCCCTCACTGGGAGTCTGGGGGAGAAACAGCCCCCAGATGCCACCCCGGCTGTTGGCCAGATGTTCCCTGTCCCAGAGGAGCTCGGTCAGACATCACCAGGGTGGGAGATGCCAGAGAAGAGGGGACCTCCACGGCACAACCCTCAGCTGTGCCCTTACGATGGCACCTAAATCGAGCCATCCTAAATCCGTATTTGCGCCGTGAGGAATGAGCCGTGTTCCCAAAGCCAGCTAGAGTCACCTGCTCCTGGGCAGGGCTGTGAACACCCCCTTGCTCTGCTGCCACTGGGAGAGTTCAGAGGGAAGGGAGGTCTGGAGGAGCTGCCCTGAGGAGCCTCACCTACCATGAACAGGGCCTGGTGGTGCTCGATCAGCCTCTGGAGCACCAGGATTATGGCAGCACTGTCCTCAAAGTTCAGGGCACCGGCGTCTTTCTCTCCGGGCTTCTCCTTCTGCAGGATGTTGGGACCAAAGACTGTGGCCAGGTTTGAAACTGTCATTTTATTCCCAGGAACCTAGCAAGGAAGCACAAAGGGAAACTGAGGACTATGGAAGTACCAGCATGGGATGTCCCAGGATATTGTCACCCACCCCAGGGCAGGAACATGAGCTGGTGGGTGGGGCTGGGGTGATGGTCTGGGTCCAGTTTGGTCCTCTCTGAGCTGGTGTCAGGACCAGCACAAAGGGTGTGAGGTGCTGAAGCACACACTCATCCCCTCCTTGCATCAGGGCCTCCATTCCCACATGTCCCACGTTCCCAGCCCCTACCAAGGATCAATATTTCCATATCATCTCCCATTAGGGGACAAAACCAACACCTGAATCATGGAGAGACTCGGAGCTGTCCAGAGGAATCAAAATCAACCTCAACATACAGTCACACAAGTGACTTCATGGAACTGGGAGGTGGGAAACCAGAATTAGTCCACAAAAAATGTCCCTTGCGCTGCCTATGCACACACAGCCAGGTCTCTCTGGGGTTTTTGGCACCCTGAAAATCTCTGAGCCAGCCTGAGCCACACAGGCCTGTTGTGGACATGGGATTCATCCTGTCTTGACAGGACAAGAGGACACAGCCCCAAGCTGTGCCAGGGGAGGTTCAGGCTGGACATCAGGAGGAATTTCTTCATGGAAAGGGTTGTCAGGCATTGGAAGGGGCTGCCCAGGGAGGTGGTGGAGTCCCCATCCCTGCAGATGGACTGGAGGAACACCGGGATGTGGCCCTCAGTGCTCTGTTCTGGGTGACAAGGTCACCCAGGTGATCAGTCACAGGTTGGATTCGGTGATCCTGGAGTGCTTTTCCAACCTAAACGATTCTGTGATGGATTTGGTTTTTCTAGAGGGTTCACCTAGGCCTGCAGCAGCTCTGCTCAGTTCTAACCACTGCAGCCTGAGCACCCCTTCCCCGTGCAGTGGTTCCCTTTGGATCAGCCTCACCTCCCGGCCGTCGGCATCCCAGGAGCGCTCGGCGTGCCGGGCCACCTCTCCAAGGAAGCGCAGGAGCCGGTGCAGGGTGTCGCTGTGGCAGGGGGGCAGCAGGAACAGCAGCAGCTGGAGGGCATCCAGCTGTGCTGGCCCCTCCATGGCTGGGCAGAGAGCAGCTGTTAGTGAGGATTCCAGCCCACCAGGCACTTCCAGCCCTCCTCTACACCCACGGGAAAGAGCTCGGGAGGAAGCCAGGCTGGTGTCCCATCCTTCATCCCATGGGATGAGAGACCCCAGCAAGGGCTGTGATGTGATGGTCTTGTGTATCTCACAGCCCCACAGTCAAAGACTGTCCTGGTCCAGAGGGATTATTATAATCCAATTTAAAAAAAATCCCCCAAACCCACAGATGATAGTAACTGCCCATGGCAGTGGCAGGCAGCACGTCACCCATCCCACCATTGTCCAGTGGTTTTGGAAAAGGAGGGTGGTGAGGAAGGATCCATCCCTGGAAGTGTCCAAGGCCGGGTTGGATGGGGCTTGGAGCAACCTGAGCTAGTGGAAGGTGTCCCTGCCCACGGCAGGGGGCTGGAATGAGATGGGCTTTAAGGTCCCTTCCAACCTAACCCATTCCATGACTCCGTGCAGTCTCCGCTCTGCAGGTACTCACTGGCTGTGCTGAGGAAGGCTCCATAGAGCTCTCTGGGAATCAGGGAATCCGGCATATCCCGAAGAAACTCCTTGAGCAGAGCAGCCACATCATGAACACTTTGATGCTCATCCAAAAAAACATCCAGCCCTTGGTCAAACTCCTCCCTCAGCTTAGAGATGGAAGAGATGAAAAGAATAATGCAACGGTCAGTTCTTACTCTTTGGAGGGGTCATCCTGTCAGGAGGGCAGGATACGAGGGTCGGCTACTCCCAATGTCCCCCCAAAGCAGGGCACCCCAAAAAGGTGTGTCAGAGCCCAGCAGCCTTCTGCTGCCCTTTGGATGCACCATGGGACCAGATGGAGCCCTTGGCTCTGAAGTGCCAACCAGGGGATGGAGGCTTCTCTGCCCAAGACAGGCTGGAGGGAAGGAGCTGGACTGGTCTCGTGGCTGTAAGAAGGACCCAGCAGCAGGATCTAGGCTGCCTGTGATCCAGCATGTGCCTGGGATGTTTTAGACCTCTCCACACCAGTGCCTGTTCTATTCATCCCCATCTATACAGGCCTCTGACCTTTGGATGTGGTATGGCCACGAGGACGCAGTAAAAGTCTCCCTTTACCTGCTGAACTCTTTTCTTGGAGCTCCCAACACGGAAGATTCCCACTGTTTGGAGACCTGGGAGACAGGCAGGTTAGTGCTGTGCATCCCCACAGATCCCTGCCACCCCAGCTGGTCCTGGGAGCACCTCAGCACCATAGCAGGGGCTCTCGTGTGCACCC